CATGTGCAGGGACAAGGGCACCCAGAAAGGAAACACAAAGTCTTACGGCACATGCCTGAGCGATGGGGAGCTGTAAAACCTCTTTCGAACTCCACTGTGTGAAATCCAGCATGGTCCTGAGGCTTTCCATGGCACCGCACTGAACTAATTTAAGAATTTTTGAGCAGACGTAGCGTGGCTGATTCCAACTGCTTTTCACGCAACAGATGTAATCATTGCTATATTGATCTGGCAATATATCACCTTTTCCCCAAAAGTGACAGCTCTGCCCTTTAAACAACGGGACTTTGTACCCCATATTAAAAGCGGTCTGCCTCTCGATTTCTAAGTTTTTTCTCTCAACAGAGAAAACAAGGACATATTATCAGCAGTTTTATGCAATATATAGTCTCCCAATTATCTATAGAGAGGCATCACTATTAAATACTCATCTTCTAATTTATAGCATGTAGTTGCAGCTAATTAAGGTTAGATGATCACTAGCTATGAAAGATTAAACTCAATGCTTAGGAGACTATTGCCTTTGATGTTATGAGATCCAGCTTCTAATTGACTAGAACATCAATCAGATTGTTATGAAGCATTAGTAATCTGCTGCTTATATCAACTGTGGTACAAATTGAAGTTTATCCAGCCTCGCTCAGAAATACAGAATCCCTTTTTTTTTTTTTAATTTGCTGGCCATTTGAGGAAGCACCAGCAGACAAAATAGGAGCATCTGCAGTTCCCTTCAAGGGATTTTGAGCATCAGTCGCTGCCCCGCTTCTCTCTTGCACATCGAGGAGAAAGGTGGCTCAGGGTCCTGTGGAGATGAGCCTTTTATCCCGTAACCTAACACAAGGAGTCATTTTCATAAAGATACATATGACCTAGATCAGCAGACAAAAGAGGTGCATTTTCATCTATACGTACACACGGACACGTGTGCGCATCATGACAGAGCAGCAATAAAAATAAAATAGCGTGGCTTCTCTCCCAGATTAATTATTGCTTTCTAAAGCTTGTGTAATATTCGTCACTACTATTTGAGTATCGTAAGGACATTCTGCTGATATCCCTTCCCAAGACTAGCACTGGAAACCTGGGCAGGACACTTGAGCAAAGACAGTTAAACTAAAATTATAGCATTGCGAAGTCCAAATTGCACAGGAACTGTAATCAGCATCAAGACTGTAAGCTGTTTAAAGAATACAGATCCATTTATATCTCAGAGAAGAAAAAGCTGCACAAAGTGGCTGTTACGATTCTTGATTCACTCTATACATGGCTGTACAACAACGGTTTCCGACCTTTCTTCTGAAAACAAACACGGCTCTTGCTTTCAATATTGATGCTTGCCGCAAATTACTACCTGCACCTTAATTTACTGATTCTGGATTGTTGCTACTCATCTCGCCAGATGCTATTTTCTGTCTCCATAACTAATGTCTGCCTTCAGTTTTGCTAACCATTCTTCACCCCTGTCCCAGGAGAGAGGTCAGCGTGATAGTTTCTATTTCACAGGAAGAGAGGAGTTAAGCGACTCACCTGAGACGACACAGTAACCAGGCACAACTCCTATTTTCCTGTTCACTGCTGGGAAAAACGCTGTGCGGCTACGTGTTGTGAATCTCCCAAACTGGGAAGAACAAGGAGCCGTTATGGTGCACTTACGTACACGGGCAGCGTAACCATGTGTGCAGGGCGCATACGTTCTTCTCACGTACGTGAACGGATAATTTGATTTTAGTCCAAAGGGAAAATTAGGAAGAATATCACTTCCCCCCCCTTTCCTTTCATAAGCTCTTAGCACGGGCACAGATGAACGCCTGCTTACCCACAATTACTTACCCAGAGGAAGAAGGAAACGGAAAGGTGAGGAAAAATAAAGGAGTCAAAGGAGCAACTTAAATTCTCAAGATAAAGCAAAGTTGCCATGGCAACCGCTCAAATGACGGAAGCGACAGGTTTCTGATGCATCCTGCACTGCTTAATACTTTTTCCAGACGGCAAGCTATCGCCTGCCAGAAATAAATTACACAGAGTGCACTAGGTGGAAGGAAGCTTTCCACCTTCTGTAAAACTCCTTTGGCAGGACTGAAGCACTGCCACTGCTGGGTATGCCACTACACATCTCTTTACATCTTCATATATCAACAGACTGACTCCGTGAAACAGGTGTTTATATACAGATGTTTATATACCTTACCAGAAACACGGAGCCTGAGAGGGGTCTTGGCCATGCAAAGGGTCAGCAAACAAATCTGGGGACTCCTCTTTCTCCAGCGCATGTTAATGCGCTCAACTTAAAACACTCCGACATTTATAGCATAACTTGAAGTAGCAGTTGTTCAGGTAACTGCAAATGCAGAATTGCTGCCCAATTACCGTTCCTCTCACTTTAGCACAAAACTTCCTTTAAGGATCTGTATTTGATGATTACTCACTGTGGGAACCGAATGAGAACACAGGAGTTTTCATCTTTGAGAGGCCCATTATACTACAGTCTATTACATTGTATTATTTGAAATCGTTGCTCTGTGATTTGAAGCATCAAGTATTTTACTGTTTTGTTACCAGCCTCTCGGTTTATGGGAATCTGGGCCGAGAAAGGGGCATGGAAACATAGTATTCTTCCCCATTTCTTCTTTAGGAATGAGGCCATTCAGCAGCAGCAGTATTCAGCTCTACAGGTTTATTAACGAGCTACCACGTGAGTCACTCATTTATTTTTAGAGGCTTTGGAAAGTTTAAAACTCATCGAGAACGGATTGCTGCAATTGTAAGAAGGCTGCCAACTTGGCTGGCCAGCTGTTACGGCAAAGGATGAAAAACTCGTTAAACAACTCCCTTCTACTACTGGCTGTGCCTGCGATGCACCCACTGGCTCTACCTGCTTCTCGCTTTGCTGGCTTCACTTTACTTTCTAGTGGGAGAACTGAATAAAATCCCTTTAGAAACCGCAGTCACAGCTACCGAGACATCTCAGCTTCACATTTCCCTTCGTTTCGCAGCTTCGCAGTGCTTTCAAACAGCAATGTCACAAATGTTCTCACAGCTGACAATTAAATGAGGCTTCATCTTCCAGCCAGCTCCTCGCCATCCCTGGCAGATACCAACAAGGCATCCTCCCACCCTGCTCTTAAGAGACCCTTGCTTACCCTCACCGAGTCCTCCTGCTTCCTTTCGAGCTCGTAGCCGTGACAACGGGAGGATGGATGGCATCCTTCCTCAAAGAGACTCTGGGGATGGGCATTTTAACGTGAGACTTCTGAAAATGCCAAGTGACTGGAAAGTGAAACGTCTGTTTCAAGGACTTCACGTGATTTTCATACCCAGTTCTGTTTGGTTTTTTTTTTTTTTTTTTACAAGAATTTGCTTGCAATGGTAGGTATTTGAAATAGGAATCCCAGCGGAACAACTATCCTACATTCCTTTCCTTAAGGGACTGCTTATTAAAGCAATGTATTTGAATGTAAACTTTCAGGTGTATTCCTGGAGCTATTAGATGTCATTCTCCTTTCACTTACTCCACTCCAAACTTCAGTGCAACCAGTGGCATTATATTAGGAAAATCATTATCACTCAGTTTAGAGAAGTTATCACCCTTATGAAGTGCACAGCTATGAAATACTAGATCCGAATCAAATGCTAACTCCCACTTTAAAGTCATTCTACCCCTCCCTATCCCTTCCACCCCCAGTTAATTACAAACAAAAGCCTATAAACAGAAAGGCAGATAATCGGAAACTCAGCCACCCCTGCACAGAGGAGTGGCTATAAACTTAATCTGCATGCTATCCGCTGAGACTTAATGTCAAACAGTTATTCCCAAGTAAATTTTAACCAAGTCATATCCAGCAGACAAATCAGTGCCTTTAAAAGTGAAATCCACACAAAATACATAACCTAAACCATTCTGTGCAATGTCCAGTTGTCCTGGTTTCGGCTGGGTAAGAGTTAAATTTCTTCCTAGTGCTGCGTTTTGGATTTAGTATGAGAAGAATGTTGATAACACACTGATGTTTTCAGTTGTCACTAAGTACTCTGCTAGTCAAGGACATTCAGCCTACATGCTACCAAGCGCGGGCTGGGAGGAAGCATAGCCAGGACAGCTGGCCCAGCTGGCCAACGGGGTATTCCATACCATGTGACGTCATGCTCAGTATATGAATGGTAGGCATGTTCCAGGAAGTAGCGATCGCTACTTGGTTATCGGTCAGCGGGTGGTGAGCAATTGCATTGTGCATCACTCATTTTGTATATTCTATCATTATTATTTTCCCTTTTCTGTTCTATTAAACTGTCTTTATCTCAACCCATGAGTTTTTTCTCACTCTTACCCTTCCGATTCTCTCCCCTTCCCACTGCGGGGTGGGGAGTGAGCGAGTGGCTGCGTGGTATTTGGCTGCCTGCCAGGTTAAACCACGACACCAGTTCATACCAGTAAGTTTTATCCCCACGACACCACGATACTTTTGTGAGTATTAAATTCTGAAGGAAGCACGCAGCGACTGATACAGGCTGAAGGTTTGGCGTAACATGGTAGGGCCACATGCATATAGGCAGAATGTTGCTTTGGGCATCTCACAACTTTGGGCATCTTGATTTTTTCTCTCTTCCCCATATTTTTAAGTAAAATAATTACACTTAATCAGCATAAAAGGTAACTAAAATCTCCATCTCAATTTTCTTAAATGTTAACAACTAAGATATTGCTCATCAGCTTCACTTGGTCCATTAAACTGGACTATGAAACTTAATTATGTCTGTAAAGAGTTTAGAGATCCTCAAGAGGCAGCACAGAAGCAGATGTATTATTAGTTTTAATAGCGTAACTCCTCAACAACCGGAGTTTAACGAGCAAAGTCTACGGCAGCCATTTTCTCCTCATCCCCTCCTTTACAGTTACTGCTTGCAAGATAGCTCTCGTTACATGGAATATGTCAAACTACGCTGTCCTTTTTGCTTACTTCCACTACCTACTCCACCGAGGTATGGGCATGGGTGTGCGAGCAGGGTTACCTGTACACTAGTATGTCGTCAGCAGAACTGTTATACTGAATCTGGTACATGCGAATCCCGGGGAGGTGATGCTGAGAAGGCCACTGGATGAGAGCAGAGGACGACGTCAGCTCAGCAACCACAACCACCTTCTCCTGCTGAGACTTCGTTTCGTTCGGAAAGCTCGACTTGGCAGATATGAGAATATCTGAGGGGCCAGGCTCCGCGTCTTTATCGCAGTTGGTGCTGTTAGCAAGGTTAGGGTACGGGGTAACGAGGAGTTCGACCGGAGCCGTCGACTCTCCCGCAGCATTTGATGCTATGCAGGTAAACGTGCCCTTGTCAGTCAAAGAAGTAACCAAAATATCCAGAGTACCATTCTCGTAAGAAATCGTCCTAGACGTGTTAGAGACCAGCTTCCCATCGGGTGAGATCCAGCGAACGTAGGGATCTGGATCGCCAACAGCCTTACACTTCAAAGAGACGCTTTGGCCTTCTGTCACTGTTAGTTTTGGGGTTCGGTGCGTTATCATCGGGGGTTCACAGACAAATTCCTCCTCTTTAATAGACCAAAAGTATTTGCCCATCAGTTCTGGTGGAGAGGCGCAGGTTTCTAGATCATCTTCTCTGGTGAGACGTCTCAGCCACACGAGTTCACAGTTGCAGTGCAAAGGATTCCCTCCGAAGCTAAGCACCAGGGACGACAGCGGAGATCCTTTAGACTTGGCGTACACGGGTATTCTGGAAAACAAAGGATCGGGAGGGATCTTTTTCAACTTGTTGGAGGTCATGTCTAGACGGGCAAGTTTGTGAAGGTTTGAGAAGATTCCCTCTGGCACAAACTCAATGAGATTATGATCCAAACTGACCGTATTGACATTAGAAAGTTTGGCAATTGTTTCCCAAGGAACGTTAACGAGATTGTTGTAGGACAGATCCAGGTCTTCAATTGTTTCAGTAAAGTCATCCAATGACCCAGGAGAGATATAGTTTAATTGATTGTTACTGAGTATTAAATGCCGAAGGTTAATCAAACCTTTGAAATGATCTTCATTGATGTAAGTTAGTCTATTACTATCCAAGTGTAAGGCGTGAAGGCCTTTAAGATCAAAAAATGCATAAGGCATGATTTGACTTATTGTATTCCTCGATAGTGTCAAATGAATTAGATTAGTCATGTTTGCAAAATCTTTTCTCCTAAGAGTAGTGATAAAGTTATCCATTAACCTTAGTTCTGCTGTTCTCCTGTCAATACTGGGGGGCACAAAGAGAAGCCCCGTCTTCGTACAGAGAATTGTGAAGGATGGAGACAGGTTTTGACACATGCATCTTTTGGGACACATCATGGCCTTCACGGCTGTGCTAATAACCAGTAGATAGACAACCAGCCTTTCCATCGTAAGAAAAATAACAGACCTAAAGGGAAAAAAAAAAAAAAAGAAGAAATCCATGTAAATATATTTTAATTGGGGATTAGAAATAGGTTTACATTGAAGTTTTCATTACAAGTCCACCTGTGCAAACTGGAAGCACCTTCCGAGACAGTAATAAAATTACCTGCTAATATTAACTTGGATGTTTTTAGAGCTAAGAGCTTCTAGTTCTACGCTAGTTTGGCTCCGCTTTCCTCCTGACAGCAACTGTGAGGCAACAGTCCATCACTGCAGCTCTGGGATGCGCTAACGGGGTTATCTACCTTCTAGCAGCTCTTCGCAACCAAGAGTGTTGACAGTTGTACTTGCATAGGTGGAACAAAGCAAGATGTGAAGCTGATACTCGGCGAGAGGAATGTGAGGAGGGAAAGCAAATAAATATACAAGATTTTTTAGGTTGAAAGTACCATCTACATAACTTTCTCTATGCACATCCGACTGTTTGCTGGGGCTAGAACCTCATTTCAACCTGCATGTCACTTCATTACTTTGTGATTATGCTCCCCTCACTTTTTTGCCATTACAGATGTCCAACAACGTTTTTGTCTTACCCCTCAAGCTCATCTCTGCCCCCCTCAGTCTTACCTGTACCGAGCAGTGAGCTCTTTGCAGAAATGCATGTTTTAAGGACAAGGGTTTTTTTTCCCCAGGAGGTTGCAGGCATCTAAAACTTCTACAGCAAATAAGAAGGAGAAATACCTTCAAAGGCATTTCTGAAAAACAAGGCTGTGTTCAATCAGAGAAGCAGGTATATATTTTTTTTCTGTGCAGCACGGGAAGCAGCTTTAGAAAAATAAATTTCATAATTGCACATGGGTTTGGTCAATGAAATTATCTCTGTGAAATCTCATGTATGCCAAGTTATTTCCCATTGTATCTGAAGTGCTCGCCTGCTATACCAAGGGTAGATTTTCATTTCTACTTTACCTCCAGCTGGCTGGAAAATTGCTAAGCATTAAGCGTGGTGACTCAAGCAACCACGAAGGCTAAAACTCCCAATCTGCAACGTAAAGGACTCAAACTATGTGTTTCGTGCAAGTGTCCTGGTACAACCCAATTCCAAACTCCAGCTGGCGAATCCTACTCCGAAAGAAGGGTAGTGGTCTTTTTGCAAATGAGGACATGTAGATTTACTTCACATATAAACTCTAGCACGCTAGAGGTCACAGCTGATTAAAGTTAGTTCTGCGTGACAACTCCTTCATAAAGTGGGTAAATGCAGTGTAAAAATAATCAACTACTGCCTTTGAGAACAAGCAATGCAACAAAAGACACGGTCCTCCGTTTAGCACGAAGTTGGGGACAGCATCATCATCTGCTGAGTCAGCTATCTGTAAAAAAGACTACCAAAGCCTTTGATTAGAAGGGCCCAATTTGCTATAAGTCAGCAGATTCTTACAGTAAGTTTCTTTATGGGTTTGGGGTTTTTTGTTCTTTGTTTTGTTTTGGTTTACTTTAATGATTTCCATGAGTTAGAGCTCCTTTACAGGGCAACAGATCTTTAAGATATAGAATTACCGTATCACAGTTGCAGAGTCTGGAAATTAGTTTGGTTAGATCAAATTTAAAGCTCCACAGAGGGGAAGAAAGTTATTAAAATCAACTCGTCGCTTATACAGTATTATTACTTCAATTTGGAGAGCATGAAATCAGTCTAAACCGTGCGCTTACCTTTTAACCAATGCTACGCGTTCACTTATTAGAGGTTAATCTTTAGGTCTACGCAATTCTGATCAAGTCTCTGCAAAATATTTTGTAAAAAATAAAAAGAAGAGACAAACCAATCAACCAATCCCTCTCCAAAACCTCTGAACGGTTGGAGCACGTGTGGTATGAGAGGCTGAGAGGACAGGGCTTAATCAGCCTGGAGAAGAGAAATTTTCTGTTAAGAACAACTGGGTTACAGGAAAACAAATCCTACCGTAGAGTTTGCACAAAGCTAGTTCACTTTATACTTTTATCTTTTCTAATAAGCATCCTCTTAGTAATGTCTTGCTTCCTGATCATTTTTTCTCAACAGCTTTTATGATATTTAATGTAGCGCACGACAAGCTTTTTCTTTCAAATATTCGCTTTTTTAAGAAACCCATTTCTACTGTCACTCCATCCTGCGCTCCGAACCCTTCTTGCCTCTAATGGCTCCATCTTTTCACTCCTGCTAGGTACAAATGATTAACGGGTGCGCAATTATCTAAAACCAGGCTGCTGTGCAATATTATAATTCCCTTGTTTTGTCATTAGCAAATATTAATGCAATTTTAATGGATTAACTGCCATCTGGACTGTAAGGAACCAGTATAAAACCACCCCACTTAAACCATTATTCTGTTAAAAAATAATTAAATGTTACTGATGTGAAACCATGGCACTAAAATTAAGGATTTTAGAGCCGACCATGAACATAGTGCAATTACTCTTACAAACTACGTAACAGTCGCAAGGAAATTGTGACTCCTAAAGGAAAGCTGCATATAAGTGAGTTACCGCTATTTGCTCTGGATTCCTGTTAAAAGCAGGTTTGGCACTATCGCCTAAAAACTGCATCAGGCACATACCTGATTGCACGATAATACAGTAGTATTTTTAAAGACAGCTTAATCCGCACCACCTCAACAGAAGGCAGTAAAAGAAGTAAGTTTCACGCTTATAAGACTAGGACATGGGGAAAGAAACTTCTCTGAACTGTTGCTTATTGACTCATTTCCTCATTTACCATCTGCACGGTTGCAGCTTAAAGTTCACGCAAAAAATACCGCTTGAGGTAGTCATTTCATTCCAAGTATATAAAGTAATAAAGACTTACAGGATAGAATAGTTCCAGTTGGAGGGGATCTACAACGGGGGGGTCATGTTCAAGATATGTGCGGAGAGACGGGGGTTTTTTTGCTGTTTTCCTACAGCAAAACATGACTAGTTTACCATTGGCTGTCGTTGGTAGTCTAAATGCTATTTAAAGGAAGGGATATTTAATTCCAACAAGTCGCAGCTATTGGCCTATTAACTTTGTTCCGTTGGAAAGAGTTCAGGTTGCTTTTGCTGTAAATATAACAGATTTTCAAGAGCTTTAAATGAGGACTACAGTATAGAGATTTCTTCCGGTCTGCAAAACATGCACACGCTTCGGTGTGAAAAAATGATGGGTAATGATAATATTTTACGAGCTTTAAGGAAGAAATGCAACCCTCCAAAAAACCGGTCCTTTGCTAGGGAACAGCACCCTTCTCCAACACAACACACATTCTTTTCAGCGTAATCTGTTTCCTCCTCTTGCACCCAGCTATTTGTTTTACCGGAATTATTAGCAAAATATATTCAAGTCCGTGGTCTCCATTCTATCCTTCTTTACGCTGCACCTATTCGGTATTCATCCGCATCTTTCGGTGGTGTTTAAGGGATGTGGTTTTTGGTTCATTCTCCCCTGAATTGGGTTCCTGACTCGTGTAGAAGAATGTAATTTCCAACCCAGACCTACGCCAGTCTAATACTGTCATCACCTCCACCTTTGCCTGTTCAAAGACATCTTCCTGCTATTTTTGAGCATGCACTTGGCTTGCTAAATCTGTTATTCTCTTATCCACACCATTTAATTGCCTGGCACTGGCCTCACACCGTACCCTGAATACAAAAGCTGCAGCAGCATCAGCTTCTGGTCGTACTCGGGTCTTTCTGAGAGAGACCTTGGCTCCCTACAGCCCAGAAATGTTGATACACAGAGGGTGGCAAATAGATATCAGGTATTAGAAACAGCTATTTATACCCTATTTCTTGCACCCTCATCAGCCCGAGCTGTATCACCCACCCACGCAATGCTTTTCAAACACACACAATTAAATCTAGTACACAAGATATTTCTGCAGAGGCTATCCGCCGCTGAGGCTGGCTGAGATGAACAGACTGTGCTCCTACATATTCCAAACGCAGGTTTTTTTTTTTTCTGACTGTTGTACTGCCGCGACAACCTGTTCGCTGCGCAAGACAGGTGCTCGCCATCTGCATCCGTAGAAGATGAAAAAAAAAAAAAGCAGCAAAGCTTTTTCTTGAGGGAGGCTTTATTATTACCCTTTTCTGATCCAGAATTAACTACCACATTGGAAAAGAAGTCTCTTTAATTTACCAACGTTAAATAATGTGCTCAATTTAGTGTCGCTTGCCCCACCTGTAACAGCAAGAAACACTTCCAGTAAGTGTTTAAGAAGTATCTTGCTCATTTTCCTTCCTTTTTTTTTTCTTTTCCGAGTACATCTCTAGATACACGTGGGCACAGAGCAGATTAGCTGCAAATCTAGCCAGCATTTCTGTGAACCCAAATTACCATAATTAATATTAATACTAGGATTTTTTTTTAGGTTTTTTTTAAATCTAGTTCACAGCATAATAGGAAAACCAAACCATTTAATATCAAAAATAACAAAATACAGAATATTTATTCTTTTTTCCTGGCATTATTTTTCAGACATGTCAACTATGCAAGTGAACTCATTTGCCTTTTCCTTTATCACCAGAAGGTGGCACAAATAATACCCACCTGTGCATAGTTATTGCCTGCCACTCCTCAAGCGGATGACACTGGGGAGGCGTATTTATAACACACGAAAAAAAATCACATTTCCAACCCGCACTAGAGAGCGGCGGAATAAGAAAACCAGAAGTAAAAGCACAGCAATAACTTTCATCTCCATGTTCATTTTTGCCTCACCTAATTCAGCCACCTGTCAAGCGCATAAGCAGACCTGAAAATCTTCTTGTTTGTTTGTTTTATTGTTGGGGGTTTTTTTTTGTTATTGTTGGTTTTGTTCCGCCCCCCACCCCCAAAAAAAAAAAAGGTTTCTGTCCCATATCCTAAGCTTCAGTGCATACCATATGCCGAGGAAGGTATAGAAGGAACGACCGCCAAAAGGTTAAATGCTTTATGGATTTATTGTGTGCACATCTGCGCTCCCCCCCTCTGCCTCTTTCCTTTCCCTAAGGGC